TATTCAAAATTTAAAATCTCAATTTTGCCCGACATCACTGTGCAGAGTCGTCCACTATGCAGCAGCAACCCCAGCAGTGTCAGTCCAGTCCTGCCTTCCTCTCTGGTACTGCAGCGCCCCCCAGCGGTGTAATGGAGTCATGGTTACTTTCTATGATGTCAACCGAGCCTACAGTGTGGTTTCCAATGAAGCAGCGAAGCCTTAGCAACACACTTTGATAATAAATAAACACAGTTAAAGTTTATACATATCATTAAGTCACTAAAAAGTTTCTCCAGGAGCAACATAATTGTTTTTTTCTCCAAAATTTTCGCGCGTTACTGCGGGTGCCTGGTTGAACGGAGGAGTTTAGGCGGGTATTGAAGGGACACATCAATCCAAAGACCTGTCTGCCTCCCAAGGTAATACATAAATATATAAAATGTGACATAATGTTACTACAGTGGATAAACAGCGTGTGTTACGGCGTGGAAACTCAAGTTTCACTAACTTTAAGTTGCAGAAACGTTGCAACTTAACTTAGCTAGTTAATTAGCACGTTATGCTCGCTAACACTAATGCTACTATTTTTATTTTTATGAAGTTTTTATTCCAGCCAGTTAAACGTTAGAGTAATTACCTATAGTTAACTCAGCTAATGTTATTTGTCAATGTTAGTGGCCAAGAATAACGTTATAAAAACAGATGTTAAATAATATTAAAGTACTTATTAGCTGAGTTCAGGGGTCAGCAACCTTCAGATCATCTTCAGATAAACAAATCACACATCCTGTTGTATTAATGTGGCCTGTATTTGTCTGTACCATGGCAGACACTGCAGTTACCTTATGTGCTCCAGCTGTACTCTGTGATTGTGCCCTGACTTCTTTGGTTCCTTTGATATAGTGGGACACGCTGACCTCCCTGAGACTCCTCAGTATGTTGGACTGGGATAGATCCCACCTGCCTTACCTTAATTGGAAATTAGGTTGTACACATCGGTTAACAATCCCTACCAGGATAAGCACATAAAACCCAGTATAAAAGGATGTTATTACCTTGGTTGTAAGGTTTAGCTGTATTACATAATTCAACAGCTGGTTGTGGTCAACATGTTTTGAAATAACTAACTCAATTCAATTTCAGAGGCGTATTTTGGCCTTGATTTGAACTGCAGTAACGTTAGATTGTAAATATATTTGTAAAAGATTCTTTCTCTTCTGAATTGCTTAGAAAACGAGCTTGGGTTCAGTTCAGTTTTCCCCATGACGAAAATAAACTTAATGTTTGTTTTTGAAATTAGTCTTTATCCTTAAATGTTTTATTTTTGTGTTAAACTCTTGTGATATTTGTCAGTAGGTGATTGAGATGGCGTCCTCCAAAAATAAGGGATTCCTCTGGAAAAAGCCCAACTCAGAGCTGCGCATGATTGTGAGCAGTCTGAAGAAGGAGAATGCCTATCTGAAGAAGACCCTGGTTGAGTTGTCTCGTCAACATTCAGAACATAATAAGCTCGTAGAGGTACACTAGACAACTACTGCTCATACTGTGTTGCTAACTCCACCTAATGATGAGAGCAAGAGCTGTGATGTTTATGTTTATTTCTTTATTCAGGGTCTCGTTTTACAGTAGCTGAGCATTAGTGAAACAACGTTTTTCTCGATGTCTTTTTGCAGAGATTCCTCTCTCTTGAAACTGTTAGGCTGGAGAGTAGTCAGCAGCTGACGGGCGAAGACGAGCAGATCGCTTCGCCGCCAGAGCAGCTGAGTAAGAAAGAAGGGAAGCTGTCGGACGTAGTGAGTATGAGGAGAAAGAGAAGCATGTCCAGTTACTGCAGAGAGATGGAAGAAGTCAAGAACAAGCTTGTGAGCGTCTCAACTAGGTGTCAATATCTCGAGAACAAAGTTGCAGGGAAGAAGGTAGAGCACTGCTCAATTGCCTTTATAAGCAGGAGACCTTTCTCTTGATACGGCTCCATAACAGTATGTTTTTAGTTATGGAAAATCTGTACTTCTCAGTGTCTCATTAAGTCGTGACAGTGAGCCAGCATGCAAATAAATGGAATTCAGCCATCATTATTATAATTATTTACACCTGTGCTTTTCCTACTGTGATATATCAAAAAAGGCCTGTGGTTGTGTTGCTGCTTAGGAAGTTTGATTTACAAAGCCAATCGTTTAAGGCCACTAGATGGCAGCATTTGTTTTAAAGTGTCAGTCTTTCATTAAGATGAGTAACTATTAAAAAAAAACCCTCAAAAAAAACCCCACTCCCTCGTGAGGAGCATACCATCACAGTGACATTCTGGATATTGTAGAGGTCATAACATTTGAGGATTTGATGCACTTAATCCTTCTGTGCTTGTGTTTTGGGCTTTGTCACAGTCTCTTTTATTAAAGCAGTTGGATAAAGTCGGTTGTTCATTCACACACTGTATGTGTAAGGCTGTGCTGTGTGCTCCTGTTGTCAAATAGGACTCCACTTCAGACGAACTGTCTTCGACCGACAACGTAGTAGAGCTCCAAAACCACCTCTGTGATGTAAGTGCTGTGTGGTTGCCACACAGCTGGAAAAGCACTCTTCTGTTTGCATTTTTCCCTCATCAACCTTTTTGTGTTTTTAACTTGAAGTCTGTGTGTGAGTTTGTTTCTAAGCAAGGACGTGTGCCCGTGTGCAATATACATGTCTTTCTGAGTGTTTTTGTCTTAGAGCCATCCCCGTGGCACAACTCTCTTTCTGTCTTTCTCTGTTATGTGCTTCTCATTCTTTTATTCAACCCCCCCGAGGCCTTGGAGAAGAACAAGCAGTGGCTGGAATATGACCAGCAGAGAGAGGCCTATGTGAGGGCAATTCTGGCCAGAATGTTATGGCTGGAGACGCAGCTGAACGAAGCCAATCAGGCCCGCTCACAGCAGCACAATGAGGACCATTCAGATGGTGAGCCAGAGGGACAGTGGGCAGTGGGCATTCACAACTGGGGCAACAAGGGGCAACAGACTGTCACAACAAGTTTTTAAGATATCAAGATTTCCCTGAAGTAGCCCACAATTACAGAATCTGCGGTTTGCAATGCACTGTCAAAAAGGTTGTATCTAACATCTTTGATTGTGTATGTCATTGTGTAATTTCCTCCTCTTTTTAACTACTTTTTACTATTTCTTACTACTTCTATCATTACAGTGAAGGAGCAGATAAGCCAGATGCAGGAGCACTATGAGGGATTCCTACAGAAAGCCAAAGACGAGCTGGAGGTGCTCAGGGAGCATGTCGACATGACCCAGCAGAACCTGATAATAGCCCAAAACAGGTACGTCTGTTGCTAAGAGAATAAATATTATGGTCTCCACCTTTGAGCAGGACCATAGGCAGGTGGTAATGGTAGGCAGCTATGTGACAGACCAGTTTATGTGTAGGTGGGAGGACAAGGAGAGTGAAGTGGAGGAGCTCAAGCTACAGCTGCAGGCTGAAAGAATGAGCAGAAAAAGTGCACAGGAAGAACGTTGCTCTGAGGATGACGAGCAAAGACATAGGTATGAGACCGAAGAGCTTCTGCACAAACTGGATGAGGAGAAGCGCAGGTCAGCTAACGTTGAGCTGCAGGTACGTCTTCATTGAACAATTCATCCAGTAAATCGAAAAATTAAAGATAGTCAAGATAAAATAAAATAATTTTTTTTAAAATTCCCTTCCCAGGCGAATATCTGTCAGAAGTTTATGTTAAATAATCACCATGCAGACCAGGAAAAGATTGCTGACCTGGAACGACAGGTATGACGGCACTTTTTATCAGTCATTTCAGTTTTGGTCCCTTATCCCACTTGCTTGAAAACTCGTGACCTTTGACCTCCTTGCTTTCTTTATTAAGCGAAACATCAGTCCTCTCACACAAACAAGCTAATTCTTTTAATGTGGAAAATATTATTCCCACACCTATACTATATTATATTCTCCATTGTAATGCAAACTTTTTAAATTTTAGATCAAGATTTCTTCACAAGACCTGGAGGATGAGAGGCAGGATTGTTCATATTTAAAGGAGCAAATGGTCAGAGTTCTGAAGATGCTGCAAAAAACTAAACGCCATGTGATAAAAAAGTCAAAGGTTGGCATGAACAGTGCAAAGGACGACCCTTAAAGCTGCATTAATTAACAACCTAAAAACACAGCATCGACATATTATATATCGTATAAAGTTTTATGGTGAACAAAAACATATGTACACATATACACATGTACAACATTAGCATTTATTTGAAGTCATGTCTCTGCTCACCTGAAAATGTAAGTCCAATATTGACCTCCCTTTTGGCCCTGGGCACTTAGTTGATAAGAGTAAGTTGCAGGCCAGGGAGGCTCCATTGAGCACAGATCAATTGCACTTAGATAATAATTTTCTGTGTCTGTATCACTATGAGTGAACCCTTGGACATTACACATTGTAATCTGATCTATTGTTAATATTACAAAATATTGATTAGTGCAGCTTTAGGTTTTGTTGGTCAAAAATGATGCAACTACTTTAAAAGCTGATTTGATCTCCTTTATCAGTCTTTTTAACTATAACTGATGGATGACTGCATTATTTCTATTAGAGAGACCAGCAGAGTCACAGCTCATTTGAGATGGCACACCCACCCTCCTTGCCCTCCGGACAAATCCGGATATCCTCCCCTCACAGCAGCTTGCTGAATGAAAGCTTCCTGGAGTGTCCCAGCTGCCAGGCCGAGTATCCTGTCAGTCACTACAGAGAACTACTGAACCACCTAGAAATCTGTGTAGACTGACCTGAGGCGAGAACTTCTTCAGTTCTGTATCTTCTGTAATGTGGATTTTACCTTCACTGTGTAACCTGTGGTACAGTTAATCTTAATAAACTACAGTGTTAAGTTGGCGAGGTTGTGCTTCTGAGTATTTAAACCCACAAAGCTTCGATTAGCTCTTAAATGCTCCCTTACTCTATGAGAAGATCGCAGATTTTTAGCCACTATATTTCACTGACTTTCTCTTGTAGCGCCACCATAAAGTTCACAATCCCAGTTTTGATTGAAATATCTTAAATATTGGATGGATTGCCTTGAAATTTGTATACATATTCAAGGTCTCTCCAGGATAAATTCTACCGACTGACTTGAACATGAATTTTAATCTAGCGCAGAGGGTCAAAATTCCAATTTGCTCAAAACGTTGGCTTATGACCAACTCATTTGTGTGATACTTTGCCAAATCATGCTGCCATAGGTCACTGACCCTTCCCAGGTCGCACACTGTTCAAACCAGATGAATGGCTCAAAACAGCTTGTGTGAGTTAATCCCTTTCCTGTGCTATTTAAGGAAGTGGATTAGTATTGCCAACAATATGGAGAGTCCGAGGACTTTGAAAGAGAACATGACACTGAGTGTGGAGAGGGTCCAGGCTATCCTTCGGCTGCAACTTAGGCTAACATCTTCAGAAATAGATGTTAATATGATTTAGAAGCCTCCTAACTTGCTCTGCCTTTCAGGTGCTTTTCATATGGAAGCATCTTCATTGAAAGTTGGAATATGAGCTCAGACTGTCTGAGAAGCAGGGTGTTTCTCTTGTGGACTTGTAGATTATCAACACCAGACAGGGCAGAAATACTTTTAGAGAAAGGAGGATGTGTATTAGTTTATTTGTGAAACAAATATTTCATAAACATTGTTAAACCTATCCCTGTAGGGTTTCTAAGATGCAGATGAAAAGACTATTTTCAGCCACTGATCAGTGAGTGTATCACCACTGTTGTAGATGACCAGGATGTAAACCTGGTAATCTAATTCACAGTGTAAATAAAAGTGGTGTCAGACTAATTAGATCTCAAAAGCTAATTTACGATTTACACAGTAGTACTGTTTAAGAGTTGCATTGATTGAAGATTAGAACTTTAGATTAACCCACGGGGTAGTCGTGTCAATCCCAGTCAACAACTAGAAGAGAGCATTCAGTGGAGTGCAGATCTCCGCCTGGAAACCGACAATGAAGCGCCAGCGCTACCACAACTGCCAGATGCAGCCAGTGGGGATTTGCAAAGTGAATAAGGTTTTTTTTGTACGAGTGTTCTGGGTTTATCTAACAGTATAAACTTAATAAGGAAACAATAAACAGGACAATAAGTCCAAATGTATTTAGAACATTTTGTTATTTATTTAGAACATGTTGTTGTAGCACGCTACACAAAATGGAACCCCTCCCTACCTTCCCTCTCCCTTCCCAAACAAAGAAGAGTTGTATCTCACTCAGTTGTACCTCCCAGCTCCCTTTATAGTCCATTTATATGGCATAAAAAATACAGAACATTGTCAGATAAATGTAAGAGTTGTAACTAAATAATCTGTTGAATGTGCTGATAGAGTGTAGGAAGGTCAGTGTGGAAAGCGAAGGGTTGAAGGACAAGGTGGTAGATATGGGAAGGGAGTAGAGTAAAGTCTGTCAGGGATGGGACCAACAATTAGTACAGATTAAAATGGCTTCATTTAAACAAAACAGTAGAACAGTGGCAGACAAAATCACAAATAACATCTTGTAATGTTTGACTCCCCTTCCTGTAGCAGGTGGAGCAAGTGGCATCATGAATGCTAGTCACCACCCTCCATCCCTCCTCCACCTCCTCCTCCTCCTCCTCCTCCCTCTCTCTGCTATCACTTTATGCATTATCAGCTCAGTAAGTATCTCGGATCTAGAGCACCTTTTTCAGCCTATATGGATAAAAACTCTCACATTCACTTACTCCACTCAAGAAACTTCTCTTATTTTTCCTTCTTCTCTGAGCTGCACCACTCAGATCATTTTGCTGCCACTATTGTCGAGACCCTGGTTATGACTGCTGTCTTCCTGGTCTCCGTGGCAGCAAATGCAGGAGCTGCAGCCCAGGAAACATGGGAACGCAGACTGCTGGCCAACAAGACTATCCTGACCCTCAACCTGTTTGTGGCTGACCTGCTGTTTGTCAGCATGATCCCACTGATTGTGGCAGTGCGCTGGACTGTTTCCTGGACGCTGGGGTACACGGCCTGTCGCACTGTGCTGTATGTCATCTGTATGAGTGGCTGTGTCACCATCACAACGCTGGCCTCCATCAGTGTGGAGAGGGTCCAGGCTATCCTTCGGCTGCAGACCGTGCCCACTTTAAACCCCAGGATGGTGACGGCCACCCTCTTTTTCATCTGGGCCTTTTCTGCACTGACCTGCATACCCCTCAGCCTGTTCTTCACTGTAATGGAAGTGGATTTCCCTCAGCAGGTATGGATGGATTGTTATGTTAAAGGAAAGCTTAGTGTCCCTGCCATTAATGTAGTTGTATCTGTTTGTTTTTGTGTGTTTTCAACAGGAACGTGTACACATTTGTACTCTCAAGTGGCCTGACGCAACTGGAGAGATTGTGTGGAATGTAGCCTTCACTGCCCTGTGCTTCCTTCTCCCAGGATTAATAATTGTGTTCAGTTACAGCAAAATATTACAGGTGGGTTTATTATGCAGTCAGAAAGTTAAGGAAGCGACTGTTTAAAACACAGAGAGTTTGTTAAGGATATGGGGATCCCAGCAACACTAATAAAGTATTTTAAGTCCCAGACAAAATCCCATAGGAGGACCAAGGCTAACATTGCTTTAGTCCATCTGTTTATACTTAACCACTTTCCTAGCCTGTCTGCGGTTCTTGGCCAGAAAAATGGCCATAAATATAACTTATTACCCTAAATTATTAGGAGAAGAGAGTTTTTTAACAGCCATGGATTAATACACATTTGGTCCTCTAGGGAGTATTTACTGCTGTGAGACAGACAGTAAACTACAGTGCCCATTTTTATGGTAATAAAGATGTCAATCAGGGGCGCCCGGTTAGCTCAGTCGGTAAAGCTGGCGACCTATATATGGAGTTGCTGCAGCGGCCTGGGTTCGAAACCGACCTGCGGTCCTTTGCTGCGTGTCATCGCCTCTTTGTCTGCCCCCCTTTCCTGTCGATCTTCANNNNAATAAAGGCATAAAAAGGCCAAGATGCAATGATCTGGCTCACTGATGATGTGTTTTCAATAGTTTTTGGACCACAATATGTCAAAGAGGAACAAGCCACAACAGGCTTTAGATCCACAGGCAAAACAATAATTGTTGGTTGTTTTCATGGGATTTGTTGACAATACAAAGAAAATAGAATATCACCATATCCTTTAAAATGGAAAAAAAAGCTAAAACATCCATTAATGCCAACTCATGCCCCGTAATTTACAGATACATTGACATTTGTACCATCTGTGATTATTAGTCATTTCTCTGTCCTTGAGGGAACAGAGATGTGTGTGTTTTGTTAATTACTGGAGCTGAAAATTGGTTTTGGTGTGTGAGTACAGAGCTGTGCACTATCAACTGTCAATATTACATTGGACAACCAGTTCTACCAGTGTGGACATTAAAGTGATATAGATAGTGGAAATTGATTCTGAGAAGCCACACATTGGTTTTAGCTCTTGGAAAACTTCATGGATGTTTGAGACACATCGGAGACAAACATAAAGGACACCTTGCTCTGTGTGTAAATCCATATGCAGATCAATCAGGTTACATATATGGTTTCATTGTATCTCGTTTGTCCGCATCATATAATGTCACAAAGTACATAATGTCAGTGTTGAGTATTAGTGTTTTATTTGTTTCACAGATCGCTAAAAGTTGTAGGCGGAGGCTCCGATCGCGACATGGCCAGCCACCAGTTGGAGAGTCCCTCAAGTACCATGTGTCCCGCCAGGATATGAAGCTCTTCCGAACTCTTCTGGTCCTTGTGCTCTCTTTCTTAATCATGTGGAGCCCAATTTTCATCATCACCTTCCTTATCCTGGCCAGGAACTTCATTGGTCACCTAGATGTCTCTTCTACCATGTTCTTCTGGGTGGTAACGTTCACACTGGCCAACTCAGCCCTCAATCCCATCCTCTACTCTGTCTGCCAGTTCAAGAACAGCTGGTGCAGGCTCTGCTGCGCCTCTGAGATAGCACCGATGAGAAAGGGAGCTGGTGGCAGTGGTCGAGCTCAAGGGAAACTTGATATACAACATACAGTTAACCCTTAATGTAAGACACAATATTTGCTTGTTGCACTCCTTAGATGGTGCATTCTCTTTCATTTTAAGATTGAAACACCTCTGAAAGAGCAAACAATGTAAAGATAATTCTAATTTTAATAAATATTTGCCATTTTGTGATTCTCAGTGATTTCTTTTCTGTCTACAAAAATGTATCTTACCTTGAAATGCCTATTATTAGTTGAAATAATCGATAGTTATTTTATAATTGTTCCATAAAAATTGCAATATTGAGTATTGTTTTGATTCTTAAAATGTCAAACGAATATCAGGTGAACAAAGGACAGCAAATGAATGAATGATTTGACTAATATAATAACATTTTAAGTATTATTGTGGGAAAAAATTGGGAGCAGCTATTTTATATTATTTTTTTAGTGATGCTCAAAACCACATCATAATGACTAATGGCAGTTTGCCTACCAACAAGTGTAATTAAACTCAGCAGCAGTTAACGATCCCACTTAATCCTGTCAATGGTTAAATGTAGCTGCTATCTAACAGAAGTGGCCCATGACATAAATACTCTGTTCTTTCTGGAGTAGTGCCTGTAAATGAATTAGACCAAAGTACTGCTGGCTGTCAGTACTTCAGGTTTTTTAGTTTCAGTTATTTCAGCTTTGCCAGGTGTCACTATATCATTGCATTAATCACTGTCTCTCATACACAAAGCATCTCAGACATCATAAAACACTTAAACACAATTTTTCTCAAGTCAACGGCTCTTCTGGTGTTATTATAACATTTGCTACTTTTTTAAATGACTCAATAATATATTGAATATTTCCCAAACCGTATGCTCAGAGTATTTACAGATGAGCCAGTGATCTCAGTATGTTATCAGATACATTCAGGAAACCACCAGAAATATTTACAATCTTCCCTGCCCTCTTCTACAGTGCAGGTTATACTGCAGGTGCCATAACGCAGTTATTACCTGTGATGGGATTTGTCCCACTAAAATGACAAGTGACTAGATTTACAAGTTAAGAAAGCTCAGGGGCTTTATGACTCTTGCGTCACAGTCATTAGAGCCCCGTGGGATCCCCTTACCCAGTAAGCCACTCACTACCTTCTGTTACTGGGGAGAAGGTTGGCGCTGCAGCGTCTGTCCTGTGTCCACAGAGGAGTTTGGGAAATGTCCCAGTAGGGTCTGCACTGCAACATCTTCTGCAGGCCACCTTTACTGCTCTGCTCTCTCCTCCATCCAGCTACATCAGTCTGACAGGAGCATCTTTGTGCAGCTACAGAAGGGATCAGTCATCCAAACTCGGGACAACATGGCAGACAAAGACACTGTAGAGAAGTTCCTTGACAACAACCCACAGTTTGCTAAGGAGTACTATGACAAGAAAGTCAAGGCAGAAGTGATCACCGCTGCCTTCAACAACCAGGTCAAGCTCAAAGAACCAACCTCTTACAAGGATGTTTCCGCCCTCCAGGAGGCTGAGTTCATATTTGAGCTTGTAAAGGAGATGCAGGACACCGAGCCGATGGAAAAAGCCCTGCATAAAATTCTGCAGAGAATTGCTCTGCTGATCCAAGCTGATCGCTGCAGCTACTTTGGCTGCAGGGCTCGTAATGGAGTACCCGAGCTCTCCACCATCCTCTTCGATGTGACACACAATTCTCCATTTAATAAAAATCTAGTGAACCCTAATGTAGAGATTGTTTTTCCCACCGACATGGGAATTGTTGGATGGACGGCCCACTCCAAGAAGGCTCAGAATATACCCGATGTTAAGAAGGTGAGCTTATGACAAAGATATTAACTTAACCTTAAATGTAGAAATAAACTAATGAGACTGAATAGAATAGACAAAAGAACATGGTTGTACTAATTTTGCTTTGTGGAGCAAACTAGGCTGTATAACTTATGAGACATCCACATAAAGTAGATTAATCTTGTCTCTGGATAGATAAAGTTACCTATTATCACAGTTCAACAGCACTGGAACTATGCAGCTCCAATTTAAACATGAAAGACTGCACAGAGAACATGTAACGTCAATTAACATCAATTATCATTTGTGCTTCAGTGTGTCTTTTCTCATGATGATTTGTAACTTTTTAGTAGTATAATGCATGCATGAATAGATCTGTAAAAGAAAAACTATTTTACATTCATGTTACGGTCAGTGTATGACACAATCTTTAACCATTCTTGTTACTTTCAGGACAAACATTTCAATGATTTTGTGGATAAACAGAGCAAATATACCACCAAATGCATGATTACCGCTCCCATTATGAATGAAAAGGAACCCATCGGTGTCATCATGGCACTCAACAAACAAGGGGCTGATGAATTCTCAAAGAGTGATCAGGAGGTGAGTGGACTGGATGTTCATATTTGATTACAGGGTGTTTATACTGACTATTGGTGTGCTTGAATGACTCACAAAGAAAATCAAACAGACTTTACTTAGTTGGGCTGAAAAACTGAAAGTATGCTGTCGTAGAGAGACAAATCCAGTATGAGGGTCACTTCCTTGTCTTTTCTTGCAAATAAAATGGCTTATTTTAGCCCACCAGCTTCCTGTCTCTGACCTGTATATTTGGAGGCTTGCCTTGGTACTCTGGGTCACCGTTATGAAAGCTCAATTTATAATCCTTTCCGGGTAGGAGAAGGTCAGACATTTTTTTTCTTGTCTAGTTTCATGGCCTCTTTGTGACTCCAGAGGTCATCCAGTAAAGATCTGTCAGAGGTAGTGACTGTAATCTGTTGCCATTGGAGACTATTGAAAGGGACCATGGGAATGTGATTCATAAAGCGATATGATTCTTTGCTTTTTCATTACAGCTCTTCAATAAATATGTGAACTTTGCTTCTGTGGTCGTTCTTCTAACCCACACTGCTTCCATGTGGGATATAGAGTCAAGGAGAAGCCAGGTAAAAATACATAGTAATAAATCCAATTATCCGGTCTGGATTATCCAAGAAAAACATGAAAAATATCTGGTTCATGCAATCGCACAAGAATCAAAGGCTCCTATGAAAGTTATAAGCAGTCTTTTCCTTGCTATAGGTGTTGCTGTGGTCAGCCAGCAAAGTTTTTGAAGAGTTGACAGATATTGAGAGGCAGTTTCACAAAGCCTTGTACACCGTGAGGACGTATATCAAGTGTGAGAGATACTCTGTGGGACTCCTGGACATGACCAAAGAAAAGGTGTGTTAAAGAAAGGCAGGAAAAAAACTTTCACTGCAATTATGTCTGCAGGACTGTGCATTGCAGCTATTATTAATTAACAATGCAGTATATAGAAACATGATTTGGGCCTTTTCTTCACCAGGAATTCTTCGATGAATGGCCAATCAAACTAGGAGAACAGGAGCCATACAAAGGCCCCAAGACACCTGATGGCAGAGTAGGTCCAATGCTGGGTTTATAACATTGTCATCCACCAAGATTTTCTAAATATTAAAATATACTCTTTTATGTTTAAAACATTTAGGAAATCAACTTCTACAAGATTATTGACTACTTGCTGGAAGACAAAGAGGAGATTAAAGTTATCCCGTAAGTATTGCGATGGACTGTAGCTCCGGGATCTGGCCTGATTGTACAGCTGTATTTGCATATTTTTACTGGTAGTCTAATAAGAAGACGTGCAGTTACTCATCCTCTCTGTACTCACAGCGGCCCTCCAGCTGACCACTGGGCTCTGGTCAGCGGACTCCCAGCATACGTGGCTGAGAATGGATTTGTAAGTTGTAGTTGTAATAGTTATATAATTAGTGTCATTGATCTGCTGATAACACACACCTAATGACGTTTATTTTCTTCTCCTAGATCTGTAACATGATGAATGCTGCAGCAGACGAATACTTTGCGTTTCAAGTTAGACACTCTTCACTGATGACTGGCATTCAATTTAATTCACTCTTGTTTTGTACAACACAGCCATTCACTTAAATCACCCAAAACAATCTGGATTTTCTGTTTGATTGGTTTAACAGAAAGAAGCTGTGGATGAGACTGGATGGACGATTAAGAATGTCCTCTCCCTCCCTATCGTCAACAAAAAGGAAGAAATTGTTGGTGTTGCCACTTTCTTCAACAGAAAAGACGGCAAACCATTTGACGAGAATGATGAACAAATTACAGAAGTATGGGAAAATATCTCTGTCAAGCTCTTCTTTTTAATCTGTTTTTACTGTTTAAGCCTTACCAACATTAAAAAAACAAATACTTTTATAATACAGTCATAATGTTAATGTAATTTATATTATTGTATTTAACTACATCTAAAATAAAATTCTTATAAATATTAAAATAGGCAAACTTTTTGTTAATTACAGGTATATTTTTTTTAATTTTACTTAACTTAATAGCTTGCATGGAAGAATTAGGTAATATCATATAATATATACAGAATTAAATGTATGTAAATGTTGTTTTGTATTTGTCACTAGGCTCTAACCCAGTTCCTCGGCTGGTCCACTCTGAATAGTGACACATACGACAAACTGAACAGGACAGAGTGGAGGAAAGACATTGCCCAGGAAATGCTCATGTATCAATCAACGGCCACACCGAATGACGTGCAGACTATTCTGGTAAGCTGCTGCCCAGGAGACTCATATTTCTTCAAGCTGACTGAAAACAGATTGAGAGATCAAGCTTTTATTTCCACACAGAACACTCGAGATAAGTTTGGCTCAGGACCAGAGGACTGTGACCAGAAGGAGATGTACAAACTGTTGGTAAGCACTGAGACATGTATACGACAATGTTTCTCATAAACTCAGTTTTGTTTGTGATGGTATACCAGCTGTTTGCACCCTGTTTCCAATGTGCAGAGAGCCAACATCCCTGAGGCCAAGACTGTGGAGCTGCGCGAGTTCCACTTCAGCGACTTTCCTTTGTCAGAGTTTGAACTCATCAAGTGTGGTATCCGCTGCTTCTTTGAGCTCGGGGTGGTAGAGAAGTTTAAAGTCCCAGCTGAGGTACAGTATACTGTATTCACCACACTCCCCCCTGCCTGCCTGTTTGGGGCAGCACACCACATCTGAAACACTCAACACACCAATATTTGTGCATTTTGAGTGCAGAGAGATTATATTTTGTCTGAGGTCTCGCTGAATTAAGCTATTATTGTTGTTTGTATATTTTGCAAGGCTGACTTGGCTGATCTGAGTTGCAATATAAACTTAAAAGACATTGTAGTTCTGACTCAAACTTTTTAACAAGCAATGCAATTGCAAAGTCTCATTGCAGCTCTGTTTTCTTTGTTTTTCTGTCGTGCAGATCCTGACCCGATGGATGTACACCGTTCGTAAGGGATATCGTGACATCACCTACCACAACTGGAGGCACGGCTTCAATGTCGGACAAACCATGTTCTCTCTGCTGCTTGTGAGTCTGATTTCTCATACTAATATTTTTTTTTACATGGCTTGCTCTGATGTTTATTATGACACAGGCCTGTCCTTTTTGCACCTCAACAGACAGGTAAACTGAAGAAGTATTACTCAGATCTTGAGGCCTTTGCCATGGTTGCTGCTGCATTCTGCCACGATATTGACCACAGAGGAACCAATAATCTCTACCAGACAAAGTATGTTTTTTGTGGATCGTTTTCAGATGACAAAGACAAATTGATGGTGAGAAATTGAAACTGACATAATAAACATTTGACTCATATGTTCTGGTTCTGGTTGACTCTTTAGGAGTTTATCCCCACTGGCAAAACTGCACAGCTCCTCGGTTATGGAGCGGCATCATCTCGAGTATAGTAAGACACTGATGGAGGATGAGGTGGGTCCTTATTTTCACATTTATGTGTTTAACAATAGTTATAGTTTGAGAAATATAAGGCTATTTGCAAATGTTTTTCATACTGTACTGTTACCAGCTGGGTTTGAAATCTTGGCTGCTGTCTCACCTCATTCTCCTGCTATTGTTCACAGAACCTGAATATCTTCCAAAACCTTCAGAAACGTCAGTTTGAGACAGTGCAGCATCTGTTTGAAGTTTGCATAATTGCCACTGATCTCGCCCTCTACTTCAAGTAAGGAGTGTCAGGAGTTTTGTTCTGAGTATATAGTAACTGTTTGTCTCACATTCAACATCAGCATTTAACACTTTTAATGCCCATTAATGAATTGTAAGGACTTTTGAAAAGGTCTAACAGCCTTCTCATCTTTCAGGAAGAGGACGATGTTCCAAAAAATTGTGGAATCTATGGAGGGGATTCCAGAGGAGAAAGAGAAGGTCAACTACGTCTCCAACAATGCAACCAGGAAGGAAATTATCATGTAAATACATAGTTTATCACGTGAAATAGGCATTTTTATAATTGTATTATGTGAACATTTCTCTAGATGTCCCCTAGCTGTCTTTAAAAAAAAGTTATTCAATGGTGTCGTATTTTCCGCAGGGCAATGATGATGACAGCTTGTGACCTGTCAGCTATAACAAAGCCATGGGAGGTTCAGAGCAAGGTTTGTTCCCTTATTCAGGCTTAATTAGAAATCACCATTCACCCATTTGTGCTCACTGTTGTATTGGTTCTTGTGGTTCCAGGTTGCTCTTATGGTGGCAGCAGAGTTTTGGGAGCAGGGAGACCTCGAAAGGACAGTCCTTGATCAGCAGCCTATCGTAAGAGCTTTAAACTTTGTTTTTTATGTTTATTTATATGTTATGCATCGAGTCATAACAATAATCATCATCACCTGTTTCTTTTTCTTTAGCCGATGATGGACAGAAACCATGCTGATGAGCTGCCTAAGATGCAGTGTGGTTTCATTGACTTTGTCTGCTCCTTTGTGTACAAGGTACCTAGATACAAAAACGTATAGATACAAACATGATTTATATTGGCAATACATTTTCTAATGCAACCTCTTTTCTTTAATATCTGTATGTTTGTATCTGCACTTACGCATGTATCTGCATGTTTGCAGGAGTTTTCTCGCTTCCACACAGAGATCACCCCAATGTTCAATGGGCTGAATATCAACAGGGGAGAGTGGAGAGCCCTCGCAGATGTCCACGAGGCCAAGATGAAGGCCATCGAAGACGAGAAGAAAAAGTTGGAGGGTGGAGATGCACAAGGTGAGTGCAGATGTTTGAAATCAGGTTCCCTCCTGCTCGTTCTCATATTTGCATTGTCACCTGGCTCTCACTGTCTTCCTCATTTGTTGTTTCAAGATGGCGGGAAGACAAAGACGTGTGTTATCTGCTAGACCTCCAGGACCATCTATGAATGTTTGACTGGATGTGTATTTGTACAGTGTGTGTGCATGAGCATGTGTTCACAGTTGAGGGAAGCAATTATTATTTTTATAACTATAATATTTAGTTCTTCTGTCCTGTAATACAGAAAACTATTTTAATCAGCAGCAGTCTAGAGTGCATACAGTTTGTATGTGATACTATAAAAACGTTCTTAAACATTATTCTTTTATATACTAAAATAATTATTTGATTCATTAAGAAGAGTACATATTGGTGTTTTATTATAAGTACTTATACTGAATATAATATAAGAATATGCAGTTGAAGTTGTTATTTATGAGAAATTAGGAATATAAATACTACAATAAAATGCTTAATAATATTTTGTTGAGAAAAAAAATGAATACATACAATTACTACTGCTTCTTTTTTTATTGCAAGTAATGCTTTCAAAATGTAAAACATATGTCCCCAGCTAATGGGTGAGAGATATAAGAAGATTTGACTGAATTGGATTTGGTTATAAGCCAACTGGAGCCCCACGGCTTTTCTTTCTAAGTCTCCTGCTTACATAAAGTAAAAATACTGCCGCCCTCATAAGTCAGCAAACATGTGGCATACAGGACACAGGAAGGTGTCATATGGAAACACTGCAGCATGCAGAGTCAAAGATGACATTGTTTAACTGTGAAGCAACACATTCAGTATTATATGTTGTGATTTATTGAAGCTAAAATGTTAAGATTTATTTTCCCAAACCATCTCAAAACAGAGCTTGTGACATTGGTAGCACGTAGCAGAAAAAAATATTGTATTTTCTTTCCTGATGAAGTGTTTGTTTGCTTTTTAACATAAGAGCTTTGAATCTCAGAAATCTAACTCTACCATGCATGTATAGCATTAAATACATTATTTTATGTGCAATAGTGTCATGTGTAAGACATGAAGGATGTCAATAAAGTTTATTTTCAGATGATGTTTGTTTTGTGCATTATAGCCATTCTGCAAATCTGCAGAAGTTGCAATTACACAAATGTTGTGCTTCATTTTTTGCTTCATTTCAGGCAGCATGGATGTAATGTCAGTTTCTAACAGCTGCAGCACACTGATTACTGAGTAGAAAGACTTTACTGTGACTTGCAGCCTAATGGATTCAATGACCGACCAACATTTGCAGAGTTATAGGACAGAATTATGAAATCCTTACTCTCTATTTCCATCTGCAATCAGTCAACTCAGTGGAGTGGGCGTATTCAAAGGTCTGGACCCAGTCAAGACCAATGCTGTGTACACTTTTTTCACTACTTAGATCCAGCTAAAGAGGGGTTTAGGAGGCCAGGGCTGACCAAACATCACCTTTTATTCAACGCTAATAAGCTTACAAGAGACCTGTGTTACTGATTTGGAATTGCTGTTTTTAATTAACCAAGGTATGTATCCCTACACCAGCTTTAACATAACAGAGTACATGAACAAGAAAATACATCAAATGCCCCTCTTGTAAGCTGCAGTTTACAAAGGTGCACATCTGTCTGTCTTGTTGAGGTTTACTGGCTGTTTAGAGTATGCAAACATGGTCATGTGTTTCAACCTTTGACCTTTGACTGTTTTGGATGTTGTTTGACCCTGAGCTGGGATGGCTAACAGATGTTGTGGTGCGTTATATGAGAATATCCACAGAAGATCCCATGCAGGCAAAAGGTATCACTGCTTCCCTGCTGCGTCTTATTATAGAGATTAACATGACACTTTTACTTAATATCAGCTTTTGTGCTACTAAGAAAACATTTGAAGCGTTTCTCTGCAGTGATAGTACATCACTGTGTGTCACATAACTATTATATAATTATGTATATTTAAGAATTCTCGTGTCACTGCCATAAGTGATCATCCCTTTGATATAATTGGCTCAGCCAGGTGACAGGTGGTGAGCAAACTTCATAGTTCATACAAGAACCAGAGATCATCTCATTTACAAAACTCTGTCAGTCACGTCACCGCAGGTAAGCCAGCTTTGTGAACTCACAAGACACCTTAAGACAGCATGTAGGTCCAAAGGTCACACAGCAAAACAAGAGTATGTTCACTTAATATGCTGCTCTCACTGGTGGAAGACGACAGGAGGAGCAGGAGGGTGGCCACCTCTATTGTGTACCATAATATTACTAGTAGACTACTAGTGATTTAAAATCATATTAATTATAACAACAACTAATTCAAAATTCTTAATCATGAAAATAAAAAAGAAAGATGCTAGATTCTAGTTTTTTAGCCTCCAGTGTGGACATGAACTTTTTTCTCACCCAAAGTTAATTTTGAATCAGAACAAAGCTCTTCCTTTTCTGGTGTAAATCATTTTACAGAGCTAAGAGCACATAAATCAATCAACCTCTGACAGGCTCTATGTTGGCTCTACATTACCCTCTAGTGGTCCCTTAGGGAAGAGTGGCTGTTTCTCCACCTACAACATATCAATAAGTAAATGTTTGCTTTGGAAATGTTTATTTTTTCATGCTAAATAAATGCTCTTTTTTAACTATGTATGCATTAATGAGGGTGTGCAGATGAATATAGTTATATATGAATTATCAGTTGCAAAAACAACAAAAAACACAGATCTTAAAGTCTATCAACAGAAGTCAGAGCCACCAGACTCGTATCAATAGCAGTGGACATCGCTGTGGTGGAATACTTGCTGAACAGTGTGCGTTCTATTCTGGCCATGAATGATGGCATTTATGAAGCACAGACACTACCCATCATCTTGCAGCACAACAATAATATCCAGTGTTCTCCATTTTGTTCAAAAGCTGCTGATGAAAAAAGACATCTGTTACTTTCTGTTCCTTCCAGCTTCTCCTTGTCCAGAGTTCCCTTCCTCTCTCAGACCTAAGCACTTTCCCTAATCTCCCTCACTGGTAATACATTTATTCCTCCTCCCATAAGCAGCTCCCAGAGCACGACCCTGCTCCTCTAAATTGCCCTGCTTTTATTTTTACAGGCGGAATTGCATTAACAGACACTGGATATCAAATGGTGTAATCAAATCAGGGACAGACAGAGGTCCACAGCAGCATGTATTTATTCAGAGCCCTTTTAAAAACAGCTGCACATGTTTCTTCCCAGAAGAGTCTGACGCATGCAGGCCTGCCAGGCAGTGAGTAAACATATTAATCTTACAACTCTGGAGGGAGAGAAATTAGATGGTGAGGAAGAAGTCCTTGTATGGCTCCCATATCATGTCTGACACAGCAGAGGAGAACACTGCACTAAAACTGTGAGGGCAATGTCTTGTGGCAATAAAACAGGAGAAAGGAAGGAGTGGGGTTTTTTTTATGTGGCTTTTTTCAAAGTGAAATAAACGTGATGCAGAAAAGCAGTATGGGAGCAAAAACCTGTCCTTTGTTTGTGAGGGGTATGAGGGGGATGGGGTTCATTTGACTGAGGCAGAGCAGATGTCAGGATGACAGAAGGGCTTCCCCGCACCCCTCCATCACAGGGCAGCCACATTTTGCATCCACCGGTCGCCATGGAAACCGCGTGCATACCAGGAAATAAGCCCAAAACGTTCACACACAATATATATGAGATTATAATTACATTAATAATACAGTCATGCAATGGCAGGGCGTTGGCAGGCTTGTGGGACGCACTGAGCCAATACTAAAAGCTATATATTTCCATCATGGCAATTCATTTCCATCGGGTTTCCCACCCGCTTCCCGCATAGATAGCCCGTGTGCGTCTGCGCCACAGACAGCCATCCGCTGGCTCATGACAGGGCTTCATTTTCTCCAGCTGATTCACCAAAAAAAAAAAACATATTAACACCATTCCGTCGCCTATTGGGCGGAATCCTCCGGGAGCTCGACACGGAGAGAGAGTGTGGCGTTTTGCTGAAATCATAGGCGTGGTTTTGGATGGAGATGCTCCGTCTGCTCCCGCTGGGATCCCCACCTGCCGTCACACCGCATCTGTCATCGCGCCAGCTGGTATTTTCCTGAGCTCGGGCCACTACGGCGCGAATTTGATTAGATTTTTATTTTTGTCACAGGGGATATTGATTTCCTTTTCTCGTCCGGGGGTGTAGTGTAATTACAGAGCCGTTAAACGTGCAGGGCGCCCGGTTTTAATCACCTCCACAGCGGCGGCGGCGGCGGCGCACGGTCTTCTTGGCGGACATAAACAAGAGCGGACGGCGCGTCTCTCGGCCTCCAGGCAGCAGCAGCGGTGGAAACGGAACCACGGCGGAGACCCTGGTTCATGTGCAGGGCTGTTTGACGCGCAGGTCGTGACCGCAGCGGTTCGCAAGGATGGAAATTACACGCAAAATGCCCAAAAGATCGCCGTGGCTCGGCTTCCTCGTAGTGGCGTCTCTTTTACTTGTAGTGGGCAGCAAGAGAGCCAGGCAGCCCCGCTGTCCCTCATCGTGTACATGTACCAAAGATAACGCGTTGTGTGAAAGCGCAGGACTGATCCCTCGCAGCTTCCCCCCCGATGTCATATCACTGTAAGTTATATTTGTTTTTGCATTTATTCCTAATATCAGGGGTTTTTTATGCCTTTTTCTCTGCTGCACACACACACACACACGGAACAGAGTGATAACTACTCGCATATGAAACAGTGAATGTTTTAAAACTGATCTTTCTGTCTGTCGTGTCCCTTCCTACAGATCATTCGTCAAGTCTGAATTCACTGAAATCCCGAAAGAGAGCTTCATCCACACGCCTGCCCTGCATCTCCTGTGAGAAATCTCTCTGGATCTTTTTGTTCTTCAGTCTTTGTTACATGCTGTCAGTCCCCAGTGAGGTGATCAACGCCATGTTTAATGTTCAAGACATCTCCCCTGCGCTTATGCTACACATAATAGATTGGATGTACTAGGCTATTGATCGGAATGGGGAGTTTAAACAATAATTATCCTTTAGAGAATAACCTTTCTAAATTATTGACCTTGCACTTTCATTTTCTCATTGTGGTAGGTTATTATCTCTTTTGGGCATCCATCCAAGTCTTGCCTTACAATGTATTAGTGCATATTGTGAATTAGACCTTTATTTAAGGGGAATCCCTCTTTTGAAGAGGGGAATCCCCTTGACTCCTGTCTAATGGGGTGGAGTATTTACTGAGTCCTTCAAAACAAACATGTAAGACTGCAGGAATCCTAACAGAGCATTGATCCTTGTCTTTGATGCATTTGGTAAAAGAAAGGAGAAGGTTTTCTATCACAGGTCCTCTTTTCAGAGTATACTGCTGCTAATGTGGGACAACAGCTATTTGTTATCCAATTTGTGAGCAGGTATAGTGAAATATTATGGATCTCTCCGCACAGCCTCTTCACAGCCAACAACCTGGAATCTATAAACGAGGATGCTTTCCTTGGTCTTCCTCATCTGGAGTATCTGTGAGTAGATGACACTAAGTTATCCCAGAAGCTGTTTCATAGAAGACGAGATGATTCTCTCCCTTTCTCAATATTCAACATCTTTTTTCAGGTTCATCGAAAACAACCAAATCAAGTCGATTTCACCAAATGCTTTCCGTGGACTGAAAACCTTAGTGCATCTGTAAGTTTATACTGTATTCTTCATCAAAAAATGGTACTAAGAGTTAGCAGATGATGTACATTTTGTTTGATTTTAATTTAAAATCTTATCACCGATGGTGACACTGATGAATGTAAAGAAGCGTTCTGGTATTTGTATCTGTAGAAACTGTTGTAATCTGTCCGCAGGTGCAGAAAAGCATTGTTCCAGTGAAGTGCTGATGAAGTTTATTACATAACATTTATTGCCACACAGACATTTCTCTGGACAGTGTGCAGGTGTTATATACAATTACGAAGCACCTTCACTGTCCAACTTAGGAAAACTTAGAAGTCTAAGAACGATTATATATACATTCTGTTACAGATTGAGTAAAGTATGTAAGCAAAAAACGCTTAAATTTTTCATTGATGTCAG